GCCGCTCCTCGGCCCGGGGCATCGCGGCCTCCCCGGCCTTCCCTGGACTGCCCGGGCCTCCCCTGTCCCCCTGGGCCTCTCTCAACTTTCCCGGCCTTCCTCTGTCCTCCCCGGTGCTCCTCTGACCTCCTGTCTCTCCCTGGTCCGCCCCTGCCCTCCCCGGTGCTCCTCTGACCTCTGTCCTCCCTGGTCCTCCTCTGACCTCCTCTGTCCTCCCCGGTGCTCCTCTGATCTGTCTCTCCCTGGTCCACTCCTGTCCTTCCCGGTGCTTCTCTGATCTCCTCTGTCCTGCCCCGGGCTCCTCTGACCTCCTCTGTCTCTCCCTGGTCCGCTCCTGTCTTCCCTGACCCCGCCCCTGCTCTCGAGGCCCAGGAGGCCCTCCCTGCCCCGTCCCTCCTTCCCCTTCCCTTTCCTGGCTCGGCCTTCCCGACCCTCACTCTCCCCTCCGCCTGGCCCTGGCCCTGCCCTCTCTCTGCCCTCACCCCTTCTCTGCCTCCCCAGGACTCTTGCTCCTCCACGCGCCCTGTCTGAACACCTGTGCCCTCTCCAAGGGCACTTGGGCCCTGTGGCCCCCGTCCCCTGGCGCTCTGTCCCTCCAGCTCAGCTTTTCTCCCTCTGTGCTTCTTGAGAAACTCTGGGCTTCCCCTTTCACTGGCCGAGCGGCTGCTGCATCACATGGCTCTGGTTTAGGAGAAATGAAAGCGGGGTCACAGGCCCCTTCCTCGGCCTCCGCCCCACCCTCTCCGGCCTCCGGAGCTGAGGGATACTCTCTCTTTCGCTTTCATTTCTCTCCTGGATCCCGCTGCTCTGCTGCATTCCGTCCTGTCCTGTCCAGTCAGAACCCAGGCTGGGCTGATGGCCTGAGGGCACCGTGGGGCGGCACCGGCCTGCTTCACAGACGCGTGCTGAGGCCACGGGGTGGGGAGGGCAGTGGGGACTGAGCCACTGCCACTCGTGGGTGACCGGAAGCCATCAGGGGCAATCCGTGCCATGCAAACACCATGGAGGAAGGAAGTGATTATGCTCAGGACACAGCGGCACCATCCGGGACCCACAAGTGCGTGAAGACTGAGGGGTGCTGGCCTTGGGCTAAATCCCGGGCGTCCCCAGTGAGAAGACCCGGCACCCCAGGACAAGAGCCAGCGTCATGTGCCCTGCGGCCCCGGCCGCCTGCTGCCTCCTCTCCCCAGAGCCAGGGACCTCGCTGTCCCCCTCCAGGTGTCTGTCCCACCAGAGCCCTGCACAGTGGCTTCTCTGCATGTGGGATTCGGTGGGAAGTTCTCTGTCACCGCGTCCCTGTCACAGCGTCCTGCCTCAGCCTGCTGGGAGCTGGACCGTGCGTGCAATTGCTGGTTCATTGTCCTCACAGTAGAACAGACCCCTCCAAGGGCGAGGTCACAAGAGTGACCTGAGCAGGCCTCAAAGCCAGAGACTGCCCAGAAGAAGGCTTTTTTTGTTTTGTTTTGTTTTTTTTCCGGTACCGGGAATCAAACTCACGACCTTGCACTTGCCAGGCAGGCGCTGTGCTGCTGAGCTGAATCCCCAGCCCAAAGGCTTTTAACTTTTAACGTCTGGTAAGAAGCCGAGCTGCACTGCATGGGGCAAGCCGTTGAAATGTGTGGCCGGGGTGACCGCTAGGAAGCAGGGCCGCACCCACATTCTGTGTGTCCCCGGGGCCGAGGACAAGGAGCTTCGGATGAGCCCACAGAGATGGGGAGGGACGAGGCCTCTTCAGGTGAGCTGCCCCCGCGTGGCCCTGAAGGAAGCTCTGATCCTGCCGTGAGGCTGTGACAGTGCGGGTCACATGAGACCCGTTTCCTTCCTCCCTTGACAGGGTCGCTCACTTGGCAGAGGTGACCCGTGCCGCCCCAGGGAGCCCGCCCCACCAAGCAAGGTGCTGGCTGGCTGTCACGACTCCGGCGGGTGCCGGCGGAAGGGAAGGGCTTCCAGCAGCTGTGTGGTGCACCCGGCCGGACCAGGGGGACAGCAGCAGACAGAAGCGCGGGCAGCGTCTCCCTGTCACGCAGCCTCGGTCCCCAGCAGGGTGGCTCTCTGAGGACAGACCCAGCACCTGCTGAGGCGGGGAGGAGAGGTGATTTGCATCCCGCAGACAGAAGTGTCGCTCTGAAAGTCGGTGTGACAGTTACCCAGGGCGCAAGTGACAACATGAGCAGCGCCTGTGACCCCGCTTTCATTTCTCCTAAACGAGAGCCATGTGACGCAGCAGCCACTCGGGCAGTGTGGGGCAGCGGGGTTCCTTTTAGGCTGGGACTGCCTGCCTCCCCACCTGCAGGGCGTCCTGTGCTGGGGACTGTGGGAGCCAAAAACAGAAGCCACGTGGGTAAAAGCGCCCCGCCCGCAGAGCTGGAGGACAGGGCGGAGGAAGGCGCTGGAGGACCCCAGGCTGGCCGGACTGCTGTGTCTCGCCCCGGGGGTGTTTCATCTCGACCCCTCCCCAGAGTGGTCCGTCCCCACCTGCTCTATGGCGTGGCAGGTGTGCCAGGACCACACACCCCCTGGACCTCACTGTCCCTTGTGTGCACAGCACCCTGTTCCCCGTGGTCACGTGGCGGGGGCGGACGCCCTTGGTGCGTATCGTGGGAGAACAGGGTTGGGAGCCGCCGTTTTACCCCATTCCTGTGACCGCCAGGACAGCTGGGGTCTGTGTAGAGTGGGCCAGAGCCGCTCCTTTCCGAGCCTGTGGTGTCAGATGAATGAGCGGGACGTCCCCAGGCACACCCGAGGAGGACGTAGATTCAGCCCTGTCCGTGGAAGATGGCCGAGGCCTGCGCCCTGGTGTCCTCCCCTGTTCCCTTGCCACCCGTGGCCAGCGGGTTAGCTTCCTGTCACTGTGACGGGATGCCCGAGATAAACCAGCTTTTGAGGACGAGAGGGCTATTCTGGGTCGTGTTTTCAGAGGGTTCGGTCATGGCCACTGGGCTGCATCGCCTTGGGCCTGTGGTGATGCCGTGCGTCATGGTGGGGTGCACACCGCAGGAAAGATGCTCACCCCATGGCAGCCTGGAAGCACAGAGACAGGAAGGGGGGTCTCAACACCCGCTTCAGGGTCACCCCCCCAGTAACCTCACTTCCTCCCTCTAGGCCCTCCTCCGAAAGGTCACACCACCTCCCAGTGCACCATAGGCTGGGACCAAGTGTTTGGGGGATATTCAAGATCCAAGCTCTGGCACCAGGTGTCGTTGTTTTTTCAGTGTCCGTTCTCTGTCTTATGGAAAACGCCTTGGCTGTCCTGCTGCCCTGTGTCAGACATCCCCCCCGCGCCGCCCTCAGGACCTGTCCCCACGTTCCACGATTTTGCTCGGCACCTGTCCTCCCCGGGCCCGTGCTGTCCCACCCTGCAGCACTCACTGCCGGTTCAGTGCAGTCTCAACGCCGAGGCCAGTGTCTCAGACCCCTGCAAGGTCCCTCCCGGTTTGGGGTCAAGTCCCAGCTCCCTGGTTCCACTCCGAGGGCCTGCCAGCATCACTCACGCCGGTGCCAGCCCCAAGCCTCATCTCTTCCCCGGCATCTCTGTGCCGCCTGCCCGCCTCTGCCCTTGGACCCTCAGCTCCAGTCTCTCGCTCACCTGCTGCTCCTAGCCCAGAACTTTTCAGCGCTCGTCAATACTGGTCCCTCAGAACGCGACCCAGCTGTCCCCTCCTCTGAGAAGTTTCCGTTTTCTCCCTGTGGTGGTGGTAGCCCTGTCGCCCCTCACGGTGACTCGTGTCACAGCTGCCTGCTTGCTCGCCTGCTTCTCCCGGTGGACTGGACTTGGAGGACACGAACTGTATTTCCCTCATGTGTGTGCTGCCGTGCCCGGCGCCATGCCTGGGGTGTGGCGGGTGCATCCTTCTCAAAGGGGTGTGGACTGTGGGTTCGGATCGCTAGAGAGAGAGCCCTGTCTTGACCTCTTCAGAGCTTACTTAACCTCTTCTGCTTCTGGAAAGTGGAGGAGAATCGCAGTGTTTACCTTAGAGGCTTTCTGGTGAGCGTCCAAAGGAAATGCCCGGACAGCGTGCTAGCCCTGTAAACAGGCTCGAGATGCGTGTACCTTGCTGAGCGAGGTGCACACACCTCTAATCCCGGCGTGGTGGGAGACTCAGGCAGGGTGAGCACGGTTCCAGCCCAGCCCGAGCAGCTCAGCGATCACAAATTCAAGTCAAGTCTGGGCAACTTAGCAACTTAGCAACATTCTGTCTTTAAAAAAAAGATGGGGATGTATTTCAACGTGAAGGCTCTGAGTTCAATCTTCAGTACCACAAAACGTCTACCCAACAAATAAGGAAGGGAGGGAAAGAGGGAGGGAAGGAGGGAGGGAGGGAGGAAGGAGGCAGGAAGCGGGGAAGGGAGGGAGAGAGCTGACCCCGTGCCGGGCACTGTCCAAGGTGTTGGGGTCAGAAGCGTGAACAAAGCCGCTACAATTGCTGCCTTCACGCGGCTGACTGCGTGGGGCCAGAGCTCACAGTCTAAATGCAGAGTGGAAGGGAATGGAGAGCAGTGGAGTGACCTGGGGTGGGTGCAGTTGGGTGGTGTGGAGCGGGCCGAAGCACCTGCATGCCCGCTAGCCAGCGGCTTCACGCTTGGACCGTGCGCCCTCCTCCCTCAGCGGCTGAGTGGCCCGAGGTAAGAGCTCGGAGCGTGGTCGCACCGACCTGGGATCGGTACCGGGTGGGCGATCTCTCTCAGCGGGCAGACCCGCCTCCATGTTCCCCTCTGCAGGGGCACTGAGAACACAGCCTGCTCGGGAAGCCAGGGGCCCTGTGTCGTGTGCAGCACGGAGGAGCGGCCCCTAGGCTAGCAGCTGGGGATCTGCTCCGAGCAGCGCGGGGTGATGAAGACCCGCACTTCTCCCCAGGTTTGCCCCTGCTCCATTTTATTGCTCTGCTGGTTTCACACACACATTTAATTTAGCAAAACAAAAGCTAGCAAACAAAAAGCTAAGCCAGACAGCGCTGCCGTCCCCACGTGCTGGCCAAGCCCGGGAGAACGATGCAGCTGAAGGCCTGGTGGAGAGGTGGGAGGGTGGAGAGGTGCTGGGAGGCTTTGCAAACCAAGATCCAAAGGTCCTGCCTCCGGGAGTTATAAATAAACATGAGCTCACTGACTTGGGCACCCCGCTGGCACATCGTGCCTGCCCTCTCTTCAAAGCTCCAGAGCCAGGAGATGCAGGCTGTGGGGGTCCCTTGCCAACCCAGCTCCATGGCTTCTGGCGTCCTGCCCCTGCACGCCCGAGCCCCCGCCCGGCACCCTCCCGCCTCCCTGTCCACCTCGCTGCCCAAGCCAGCCCGTCTCTGCGTGCCCTGTTCTTCCTTTCTCCTGTCTTTCTGTTCCTGTCCTGCCCTCTGGACTTAGAGCAGGTTTGCCCCTGCTCCATTTTATTGCTCTGCTGGTTTCACACACACATTTAATTTAGCAAAACAAAAGCTAGCAAACAAAAGCTAAGCCAGACAGCGCTGCTCTCTCACCCTGGTCAGCTCTTACGCGCTTGTGCACTGAGGTTTTCTGTGTCTTCGGTGTGATCTCCTTCTCCTAACTCGGTCAGTTAGATGTTAGTGTAATCACTTTATGCAGCTGGTGCTCATGTAATCCACCTTTGTGACTGCATACTTCTTTGCCAGCATTCCTACTTGAATCTGGGGCTGTCTGGGACCGTCTTCCTTGTTCTTGAGGAATGTTCTCTAGGATTGCCTTAACTGAGGGTCTGTTTGCTCTAAATTATCTTAATTTTTATCTGAAACGGTATCTGCTTTAATCCATTTTATGTTGTGTCTCAGTTACTTTCCCACTGATGGTACTCAGTAACCAGCACCATTTCTTAAAGGAGGGTTTATCTCCTCCCCCAGGGTCAGTCCCTGGCCGGCAGCTCCAAGCTGGAAGCAGTGTGGCCGAGGGGCTGGTGGAGGACAAAGTGCTCAGCCCATGGCATTCGGGAAGCGGGGAGGGAAGGGAGGAGCTGGGGACCAGAATCACACTTCCGGTTGCACCCCAGTGACCACCCCCAGCAGGCCCCGGCTCCTACAGCACAGTCAGCCCTGCGCTCGCCCATGGGTGAGTCCCCGCTGAGCGCAGCGCCCGTGACCCTGTCGCCTTCCACACACATGGGAATCTTGGGGGACACTTCAGATCTGCACCCTGACGTGCTGTGATGACAACACCACACACTGGGTGACAGATCGCGTTCTCTCGTCTCTGCCTTTGTCTCTCTCAGCTCGGGCGGAAGTGCAGTGCCCAGGGGCTGGGATCTTGCTGCGTCACAATGTGGGGGACGAGGGCCTCACACAGGGACAGAGAGCAGGAGAGCGTGTACGCTGGGCCCTCTTCCCCGCCTGAGGAAGCTAATGGTGGTATCCAGGACCTCACCCTCGTGTCCTCATGCGGCCCTAAGGACCTCCCAAGCCCCGCCTCCAAAGGCACAGCGCTTGAGCCTGGAGATTAGGTTTCCACATGTGGGCTGTGGGGTCTCCTCCAGCCATCGTGGTGTCCCCTCGGCCTAGTCCTCAGAAGCTCTGCAGTGGGCAGTTATTTTCTCCCAGCCCAGGGGTGCCGCACGGCTGTCCGCAGTGTTAGAGTTGGCACTGAGAAGGCAGCTGCCGGCTGCTTCCAGTCCGTCCGTCTCCAGCGGTGACCCGGGCTCTGCTGCCATAATAGCATGGGACAGGGTTCTTTCATTGTGTGCCGGAGCCGGGGAGCTCCCAGGAGCTGAGGGCTCTGACTTCCACGAATTCTGGAAAGTTGCTTTTCCTTCTAGAACTCCAACTGAGCATAGGCAAGTCCTTGTCTCATCTGCTCTGTCTTTGACCTGTGTCACATTCTGGGTAAGTTCTTCAGATGGGCCATCCAGACCCCTAATTCTCTCTCCAGCTGTGTTTGTGTGATTAATCTGGTGTCTAATCTGTCAGCTCGCTCTCTCTTTCTCCTTTCTCTTCGGCACTGGAAGTTGAATCCAGGGCCTTTGCTCCGAGCCACATCCCTAGCCATTTTAAATGTTGTTTGTTTCAGACCAAGTCTCTCTAGGCCACTGAATTACCCAGACTGGGCTTGAACTTGTGGCCAGCCCTCCAGATGGCTGGGGTCAGGTAGGTGCCCCCACACCCGGATGAGATTCTGCTTTCAAAGAGCGTGTTTCTCATTTAGACAGTCGATACCTGATTTTCTTCCCCGGCTCTCCCTGGCCGTTGCTAATAGTCTCCTGTTCCTTAGCTGCACCTTCAGTGACAGCTTGAATTTCTTCGAGCCTGTGAGACAGCATTGCGTTGTGTGTGCTGCAGCTCCGGTGAGGTCCGGGTCTCCTGTCACTCGGGCGGGTGCTTGTTCTGTGGTTACTCTTCTCATGCGAGCCCGGGATCCTTGCAGCTCCCTGAGTCCAAGGTGAGTTAGCCCAGAAAGGCTCTCCCTACTTGTGGGAGGAATTGACCACGGCCATCCCGGTCCAAGCAGGGACCACGCTTTGTCCCTCCCCCTGCTGAGCCTGGACACCCGTGCAGACCTGTGGTCCCGGACATGTGCCTCCTAGTGTGGTTTCAAGCCAGGTCCGGGGGACACCACGCCCGTTGTGATGAACTCTCCCCGTCCAGCTCCCCCTGTGAGCTTCTGTTCCCACTCGCCCTTTGCTATGCCCGGCACCCCGTAGCGACCCCACAGCCTGCAGAGAGCGAGCGGGCCAGTCTGTTCTGAAACGAGCCTGTCCTGTGAGCGGGGCCCGTTCCTCCGCTTGTCCTCTCTCCTGCTCCTGCCCTGGGCCCGGGCACCCCCATCTTCTGTGACTCCATGCTGCTGTCCCGGGCTTGAGGTGGTGAGGCCATGTGGACGCCGTGGCACCTCTTCTGGGCCCGCATGCCCTTCGGTCCGGGCCTTGCACGGGCCTGGCTGGTGCTGGGAGCTGAGGGGTTTCTCCCTGAGTGCCGGCAGGGCGGTGGGGGCTGAGCTTGCTGCCCATGCAGCTCAGGCCTGCCCGTCCCTGGCCCCAGGCTGGGCAAGTCCCCAGGGCCACCTCCACCCTTCCACTGCTGTTCTTGACCTCTGGGGACTTTCTTTCTTTCTTGACACTTTCATTACGCTTTTTTTTTTTTTTTTTTGTCTTTTTGAAACAGGGTCTCGCTATGCAGTTCAGGCTGCCTTGAGCCCACTTTGTAGCCCAGGCTGGCCTCGAACTCTTGGCAATCCTCCTGCCTCAGCCTCCCAAGTGCTGAGATCACAGGCATGGCCACCACACCCAGCAACATACATTTTAAAGAACGGTGTAGAATATTGCGTTTGGCAGGTTTGTGCTGCCAGGACAAAACACCAGAGGATCAAAGGAGGAGAGGCGGATTCTGCCCCCAGCTTTAGAGCTTCTGTTCTGGACTGGCAGTTCCAGGCCTGGGGCTGGGGGCCGGCGGGGCATGGTGGTGGGCAGGCCCATGACCAAGGTGCTCACCATACAGCAGAGGGACAGAGAGAGACCTGGAGGCCCGTGCTGCCCTCTTCCTCCTCCACACACCCCAGTGCCCCGCAAACAACGGAGCTAGCCATGCCCCTGCACCTGTGCCCCTGTGCCCCTGTGCCCGCCGGTGCTGCCACGACGCTCCACCAGGGGGCAGCCCCAGCTGGGCCGCGCCAGGCTCCCTGTAGTGCTGGGCGGGACTCCCCAGGGCTCGTCTGCCCGAGGTCCCGGGCTGGGTCAGGTGGGAAGGAAGAGGGTCAAGGTGTGGAGTTGGGAGGGGGACAAGCGAGGGGACCCAAGGGGAGCCCTGGAAGGGCCAGGACGGGCTGCCTGGTGCGAATCCAGGCCTCTTTAGACGGCCAGGCTACTGCTGCTGCCTGCGCTCCGCCGCGTTCACTCGGCACCCACTGTGTGCACACGGGGAGGACAGCGGGAATGGAACCCGCTTCCGCGGGGTCACTCAGCGCCCGAGGCGGCCCTGCCTCCTCCTCCTCCCACCCGAAATCCAGCTCGCCTCGGCTCTGCAGGGCACCCCGTGGTGTCACGTCGGGCGGCTCCTGCTTCCCACTGCAGTGGCCACAGGGACGCCGCAGGGCTCAGGCCGTGGCTCCCCGAGAGCTGGGCCCTGCGCACGCAGACCGGGGAGTCTGCAACCCGCACCCCTCCGCATGGCGCTTGACATCTGCACCCACAGGACGGGGCGCGCACCTCGATGCCCTCTCCTCCCCAGAGCCCGGGGTGCTGTGCGGTGAGGTGCATGAGACTCGGGGGGCGGATAGGCTGGTGACACAGCAGCTGGGGCTCCCCTGCACCCCTGCAGCAGCGGCCCGCTTCCTGGAGACCAAACCACAAGCAGCACGTACAGGGTGAGGTGCTCGTGGGCCGGGCTTGGTTGCCTGCCTGTGGGAGCCGGGGCAGAGAGACCCGAGCAGGAACAGGGTGGCCCGCGGCTCCCAGCCTCGGAGGCGCTGCCCACGGCCCGGCACGCATAGCCGACGGAGATGGCGCCCGCCCTGTGGCTCTTCCTCGGCCTCGCTGGACGGCTGACGGCGGCCCTCTCAGGTACCCTCTGCCCCTCCGGCCGCCGAGCTGGAGGGCCAGGCCCCGGCTCTGGGCTGTGCTGGTCACCTTTGTCAGGCCTTTCGGCCAGGACCCTGCTGGGGCCCAGGAGGCCCTGGGTGTGACGGCAGGACACGGGGCCCTGCGAGGAGCCCAGGCAGCACGCCTGTCCCCGGAAAGGCCACGTGTGACGGGGACCGCGGGGCAGTGTGCTGTCGCACAGTCAGTCCTGGGGCTGGACGGGAGGCACAGCCCCATCCACGGGTGTGCAGGGGCCCGCTCCCCTGCTTCTCCTCAATGGGCGGGAAGGAACTCCCTGCAGACAGGTAGGGCCACGGCTCGGTCAAAACTGAGCTCATGGTAGCCTGGGGGTTACGGAGGACCCAGGGGCTCCGACAACCGTTGCTGTGGCCAGGGCCTTGGGCACAGCCTGCTGGGTAATTGGGGGCACTGACCGCAGGAGCCCCTTGAGCTCCCCGAGTGCTGTCCCAGGCCCTGACACCGTTGTGCCTGTGGCCAGGGCTCAGGCGCCAGGACGGTGCTTGGGGGATCCTTGCTGGGCCCAGAAGCCTGGCCGGCCCCTCGGGGGCGGTCACCCGGGCGGGGAGCTGGGTTGAAGTCGGGTTCTGACTCTGGAGCCCGCGGTGGCCTCTGTCTTATTTGCCGGCAGCCTGACTCCGGCCCGACCCCGCCCTAAGTCAGGGATATGTGGGGCCGTGGGTGGTGCGGGACGGGCCCCCCAGCTCCCCGAAGCAGTGTCTGTCTCACTCCTCAGCCCTGCCCGCGTGTCCCCAGCACCCCGTCTCCCCGGTGATTTTGAAGCCCTGTTGACGTCAACTGACTCACTTTTTGCCAACACAAGCTTCGTATGGGAAGGAGACTGCCCATCAGCGCCGTCGTCGGCCACCCGTGAAAGGCAGAGGGGAGAGCGAGGGAGAGGGCTCGGCCCGACGCCCGGGCGCCTGTGCCCTGCTCGAGGAGACGCGGCTGACACAGGCAGCAGCCCCGGGCGGGACCTTCTGGTGGACTTTGCGAGGGTCGGGACGCGGTTTGAGTGGGGCGCGTCTGGCCTCTGAAACTCATGGTGTAGGTGCTGCTTCCTGAAGCTCTAAGCGCCGCCGAGGGAGAGGGCAGGGTCACTGAGGAGGAGCGTGGCCCCAGGAGGGGCTTTGCGGGCAGGGGGAAGGTGGCCCCGGAGCAGCCCGCGCCCCCTCCCCCGCTGAGTGTGGCTCTGCGCCTGCTCCCCGCCCACACCCCGCGGGGCTCTGGCCCGGCCTCTGTGGCCCCTTCACGTCGGGGGTGACAGGGCTGAGAGGCCAGGCCCTGGCAGTTGCGGCTGGCGCTCCTGGAGGCCGGGGCACGCTCGCTCCAGCTCTGTGCCTCAGTTTCCTGGTTGGCTACGTGAAGGGGTGAACAGCGGAGGGGCCAGGCCGGAAGCCCTGGACGGGAGGCCCGGTGGGATCCTGCCCCAGCCGCCGCACCTGTGCCTCTTGTCTTTTCTGGGCCTTTCCCGCCAGGGTGTCCCCAGGCCCATGACCCCAGTTCTGAGAAGACCCTTGGGGCTGCTTTTGAGTGGTAGGAAGACAGTTTGTGGTAACTTGGAAAATGGCGATATTCTGGGCTTGCCTAGCTTTCAAGGGCCATGGGTTCTGTCTCCACTCCCCAAAAGACACCAATCTCATTTCTGTAATTAAAAAGAACCTGTTGTTCTACTGACTTGTGAATTCAACATGCAAATCACTGTATTTCTAAGCCCAGCATTTTTGCTTTCAGTTTTGGGCAAAGAGCCCAAGGGTGCTGTGCCCCTGAGAGCTACGTCCCTGTCCTTATTTTTCATTTTGAGACTGGGCCTCACTGTGCTGCTCCGATCTGCCTGCCTCAGCCTCCCCGATACCCGGCAGTGTGCAGGCCTGTGCCACTGTGCCCAGCCAGGCCCAGTAATTTAACAATGACTGAACAGGGACAGTTCTGTAAATGACAAATGCCCCTTTCACTTGTAGCTGATTAATTCCCTTAGGCTTGGTAGCGTCTGAAATGTGGTAGTTCCTGTCGAGACATATAAAGTATAAAGCATACTCCAGGTTGTGAAGATCTCATTAATGAGTTGTACACGAGTTACAGGCTGAAGTGAGGCTATTTGGGGTATGAGAGGTAAATGAATTTTTCTTTTTCTATATATATATATTTTTTTGGTACGGGACTCGAACTCATGACCTCAGGCTGGCCAGTCAAGTGCTTATGCCGCTGAGCTACATCCCCGGTGAATTTTCCGATCACAGTTGAGTGTGCTGCTTCCTTGGATTTGAAATGTGGCGTTCAGCAGCTTGCATGATGGTTCTGTTGAACAGCACTGTCTCAGGGTCTCCGCCGCACTCCTGACTCTGACGAATCCCGTATCTGCTGCGATGGAGCCTCGGAGCCATGCGTGGTAGGCGAGCGCTCAGCACCAAGCTCCAGGCCAGCCCTGGGAACCCCATTTTATTACAGAACAGCAAGCAGAACCTTCCCAGGGGTTTGTGAGGCAAAGCGACTCTCTGGCGCTCTTAACGTTCTCGTGATGTTTACGGGCACTGTTGATTCCTCTACATTTTTCACCTGAAATTTGCCCTGAAGCCGATCACCCGACGCCACTGAGAAAATCTCACCGCCGCCCGCTCCAAACCGTCTCCAAGACGGGCTGGGACCCGAACGTGCCCGCTCGTGTTGCCTGCAGACGTGGAGGTGCTGGGCTTCTGTCTGCTGTGTCAGGTGCTTTCAGGGCGAAAGGCCCTTGCGCAGGAGAAAGTGCGCATGCTGCCGCCGCCGGGGACACGGCCATCCTGAGTGCTCCAGGGTTTCCCAGGGCGGTGGCCCGAGCTGACTCAGCTCGTTTGCAGAACCTAAGACGTGCTCGTCCTGTGACATGCTGCATGGCTTCCTCCACCTGGGCCGGTGCCCTGGGGCCCAGGGGATGCCAGCCCGGTGCCGTGCTTCTGTCCCTCACTGGGGACGTCTGGCTGGATGGATTACACAGGCGCTCACCTTCCTGTTTTGACTCCATGTCAAATTCTTGTCTAAGGTCACAGCTCGTAGTCACACAGCACACAGGGCCAGCTTCTGCAGGGCTCTGGCTTGTGTGGCCACCGGGCTCTAGGTCAGTGACCGATGGGGACAGTGCATGGTCACCGGGGCAGTGGCTGTCCCAGGGTGGCACTGAGGGGGTGGCACCTTCAGCAAGACCCTGGCAGGCCCCGAGAGGTCTCGGCAGCTCATGGCCTCTCCTTCAGCAAAGGCTTCTGTTTCTTTTTCTTTTTGTGCGCTGGGGATGGAAACTGGGGTGCTGTCATTGAGCTCCATCCCAGCACTTTTCATTGCTGAGACAGGGTCTCACTAAGTTGCCCAGGCTGGTCTCAAATTTGTGACCCTCCCGCCTCAGCCTCCCGGGTCACTGGGATTACAGGCGTGCGCCACCACGCAGGGACTGGTGAGGCCTTCGTTAAGGGCCACACCAGCCTCGTTTCCTGATGGGAAAGCTGAGGGTTCCAGCTGGTCTTGGCGGTTGGATCTTGAGGCTCAGGGACCAGGCCTCTCGCTCAGTCAAGGAGGGATCAGCTGGTGGCCACTGGAGGCCGTAGGACAGGAGCTGGGAAAATGAGCACAGCACACCGGAGCCCAGCCCTGGGTGCGGCCGGATGCCCTGTGACATCCTGGGCAGGGACACAGATGACAGGGGCCCTCAGGCCTGGCCCAGGACACCTCTGCTCCAAACACCCAGAGAAAGGCCCGTGCCTGGAATCCCAGCACTCGGGAGGCTGAGGCAGGAGGACTGCCATAATTCAAGGCCAGCCTGGGCACATAGGGAGTCCAAGGCCAACCTGAACCCTGGCTAAAAATTAAAAGAAGAAAGGACTGTGCCTGGCACCAGGCCACCCTCACAACTGAGCCCGGGAAGCCACCTGCCCACGCCTGGGGCCACTGCGGCAGTGAGGGCCTCCGACTGGGGGCCCCAGAAGCCCCTGCTGTCCCTGGCAACCGTGAAGCTGGGGTGGTACCTGAACTCGTGTCCCCCGCCAGCTCTGGGAAACCGAGTCCCTGGGTCTGAGGAGCCCTGGGGGTGAGAAGGACGAGGATATTTAGGCAGCTCTGGTTCTCATGCAGGGCAAAGTCAGCAGCTTCCTTCTTTTCACTGGACCTAATCTCTCTAATTTCTTCCTAGAAAAATAGTTTTTCTTTCTCTTTTGTGGTGGTGGAGATTGAACCCAAGGCTTTCACACTGAGCCACAGCCCCCGTCCTTTTTTATTTCTTATCTTGAGACTGTCTTACTAGGTTGTGAAGTTGCCAGAGCTAGACCTGAACTTGCAATCCTCCTGCCTCAGCCTCCCAGAGTGCCTGTCAAGGTGTGTGCCACCAGGCACAGCAAAATGGTCACACTGGACACTAAGGACCCAGCCTGAAGGTCCTGGACTCTGAGTACGTCCTCCAGCCTTCACAGGCGCGGAGGACAGCGCTGGAGGGGCGGGTGAGTCGGCCCCAGGCAGGCCCCGTGAACCAAGCCGGCAGGGCTGTGGGTCAGGCAGGCCGGGGTCTCCGTCCCAGCTCCACACGGCCCCGCCCCTCGCATCTGTGCCGCTCACTGGAGAAGCAGCGCGCCGCGCTCGGGGGCAGAGGTGGGTTCCGACAATGTTTCTAACCGCCCGGAGTGCAGGGCTCGCGCCACCAGCTGGGACGGATGTGTGCGGTGCAGGCAGCCGCGTTCAGGGAACACGGTTTGCACCAGGCACATTCACGCACAAGACGCCCCGTCTTACAGACGAGGAACTGCGGTTTGGCAAGGCTGGTCCCGGCGGCTGCTAGCGCCAAACTCTGGCTGCATCCGCCGGCAGTGTGCACCTGCGCATCACGGCAGAGAGGCCTGGCCCAGGGCACTGGACGCCCCCTTGGCCCGGGTCTCGGGGCTGGCGTGGCAGGGCCACACACGTGATCTCGGGAATGCAGTGGGGTTGAGGTCCCTCTCTGTGCATTT